TTTTTTTTTTTTTTTAGGAGGGAAAGAAGATACTTTCTAAATAATGAAAATCTTTGATAAACATGAATAAAGTGAAAAACAACAAGGGAGGGAATCTAACCAACAGTTTCATGGCTGCCACAACTATACGCAGAAATAAAGAATGATCCTCCATCTTATTTAGGGGCAAAGGAAGCAGTGATTATATGATCAGGCTAAACATCTCACGCTGTATCAAGCACTTTCCCCAGCAGAGCTAAACTTTCCCTTCCTAGAAACATCTCAGGTCACACGCATTGAAAGGTCTTCCATTTCTTCTTTCTGGGGGCTTTGTAGGTAGGTATTAAAAAATAAAGAGGCTGGTGTTTTCAATTTCTATTCTGTTCTGTGTGGGTAGAGTCATCATCTCTTTTTTGCTTCTGCTATAGAATTCAACTTCTATAACTCAATCGAAGCTTAATAAAGGCCTCTTGACACTCTGGAAACTGCAAAACAAGAACTGGCAAGGACGACGAGGAAAAGAGCACAAAAATATGTATATTCCCTCCCAAATATGCTTAATTAGCACCTCTCCATCCAGTTCACTGTTTCATCTAATTCAAAAACGGCACACTCTGAACAGCGGTAAATGGAGACACATTAAGTTCCATTAGCAGCCATTACATCAAATGGATACAATAGAAACCAGTAACTTATTCACAGCAACAGGTAACACAGTACAATAGAAACCTGTTAGACAAATAACCTGGTCACCCTCAAATTAGTGCTCTTGCTTTTACAGGCACTGATTTTCTAAAGCTCAATGTCCTATGAAATACATTTTAATTCTGTTCCTAGTCCACCAACTACATTAATTTAATCTAGCCCTTCTGTCATATAAAATAAATTCTTATCATTTTTATTTCCTCTGAGAAAGATATAAGAGTGGAGGAAAGACCAAAATGGTTATTGTTTATATTGTGGGCCTTCAGACAAGGTATTTTAAAATGAGATGGTAACAAAACAAGGATAATTATAATCATTATCATCATCATAGTCACTGAGTGCTCAGTATGTGCCAGGAATTTTACAAAAGCCCTACATGTATTATTTTATTTCATACACATAACAACCCTATAAGATAACCATTACTATTGTCCCTTTCATAGAAAAGAAAGGGTCATGGCTGGTCAGTTATGGAGTCAGCCTTCAAACCCAGACAGTCTGACTTCATATTAGCTGGCATTAACCACTGCACTATAGTACTTTTTGGGAACTTACCTGAGATCTAGGGCAAGGTTCTTTTGGGGTCCTAGAATCCCAGGAGCACTAAATAAGTTACACCAACATTGCCCATACTGGGAGGTGTTCATAGATATCCTTCAAAAAGGTCCCAGGGTCAAATAATGATGAGACCTGCGCAGACTATAACTCTCCACTGTTAAGTCACTATTCACATTATCTTAATGTGTTTAAACTTTTTCTTTTCTATCCAGCATTTACCAAGTGTCGCATGGGGTTGATGGCATGTAGTTATATGTGATTAAATCAGCTGGCCTTGGTTAGAATGGATTAGTTGCATAATGCAATCTAATGTGATGTAATCATTTTGTTCAGATGTGGTGAAATGAGTTCCTTTATGTGGCCTTTTGCCTTGATTCTCTGAAAAAAATAGCTTGAGAGATTTTTCCCCTAAATTCTGAGGATTTATTTTTGCCCTAGTTTTCTAATCCAGAGGGTTTGTAACATTTCCTGGTGAAGCTATAAACAACTTTTTCTCTACCCTAGGCTGCAGTCTGCCCTGTGATTGGTTTGCACCTTGCAAAGATTGGTCAATATACTATGTAAATGAAGTGGCTATGGCCTACTATGCTTGAAGTGTCTGTGGCCTACTGAGAGGGGATTGGTCAGTTTGTGGCCTCCACTGGAAAGGCCTTACCTTGAAACCGACAAGTAGTTGTGTATATATGCAACCAACCCACAGAGGTTTTTCCGACAAAAAGAACCAAGAAGAGAAGCAGAGGTAGCATCAGAGGCCCCACGACAGGCCCAAAGGGCCCCAGTGGTGAAGCTGATGGTAACAGATGTCAGAGCCAAGAGGAGCCTATCTTCAGGGGCTAAGAGGAACTTGTTCTGAAGAGGACAAGAAGGGGCTTGTCTGAGAGGAGGCCTGTCCTAAGAGCTCATAGGACACCTGCATGGCCAAGAGGAGCTAAGAGAGATGTCCTGCACTGAAGAAGGGGGATTTTGCTAAAGGCTTTTTGATCTCAACCCCAAGTTATAACCTGCCAATCCTGATCTCAATTTGTAGCATGCTATTTCCTTAATATACCACTTAACTTTAAGTATGATCTGTGAGTTCTGTGTGGCCATTGCAAAGAAAAAGTGGAGGAAGCCATGAAGAGGACAGCTGGTATCAGGTGGTGAAAAAGTTGTAAAGTGGCAGTACGTCTAACCTCCACCTCATAGGAATCAGCTTCGGGCTGATCTTGGTCATTTTGCCCCCTGAAGTTAGATAGGCTCTGATGTGACTATCACCATCATCTGACATGAGATCAGGCCAGTGTGTGGTGGATCCTAAAACTAATTGCTTGTGAGTTATTAAAAAAAAAAAAAAAAAGAATAGACATGGACACACCACATACACAGGGGAAGAGAGATAATATGTGAGGATCGTCTACAGTAAAAGAAAGCTAAGGATAGCCAGCAGACATCAGAAACTAAGAGAAGCTCACAGAAGAACTCAACACTGCTAAGAACTGGACTTTTAGCCTCCATAACTGTGAGGAAATAAATTTGTGTTCTTTAAAGCCAACTACATGTGAAACTAAGATACTTCCTTTCCTTCCCTCTTCAAACTATTGTTCAATTATCCCCAAAATATATTCTTCCCTCTCTCCCATACCTCACTTACAAATTCTTCAGAAGTCACCTCGACAAGGAAAGTGTAAAGAGAATGCTGGGATAGCTCTAGCAACAGAGGAAAATGATTATGTTTAGAAGTTTAGTTAGTGCTTCATAATCAAATTCTAAAGACTTTGAAAGTATCCAAAATATTTTCCAGAAGCTATATACCCCCCTATCTACCTTCTAATCCTTCTCTATTTAAATCCCAAGAGAAAACACCCTTGTGGTGCAATAGCTGCTAACTGAAAGCCTGGCAGTTTGAACCCACCAGCAGCTCCATGAGTGAAAGACCTGGTGATCTGCTCCTATCTAGACTTCAGCCAGGAAGACCCTATGAGGCACTTCTCTGTCACACGGAGTTGCTATGACTCACAATCAACTTGATGGCACTTAACAACACCACTACAATCTATATAGATATCAGAAAAAAAATATACGCATAATTATATCATGAGGGAGCTCTGGTGGCATAGTGACTAAGGCATTTGACTGCTAACCAGAAGGTTGGTGGTTCTAACCCACCAGCCACTCCTCAGAAGGAAGGTTGGGCAATCTACTTCCATAGTGATACCACCTCAGAAACCCAAGGAGGGGTTGCTATGAGTCTAATTGCCTCGACCACAGTGAGTTTGGATTTTTTATATCATGAGTAATGCTGTTAGATTTATTATTATTATTATTGAATTACTTGTTTTTAAATTTTTAGTTACCTAGTTTTCACTCTGTATTCATTTGGCTCAGGATACTACCTTCTCCTAGTTTTCCTTATACTCTTCTGACCAGTTATTTTCATAATTTTCCATGAATTCCTCTTCCTCTACACATTATACAAGTGTGGGCACTTTCCACACTTGGGAAGAAGACGCAGCCCATTGCGTTCCTTCATTTTCCTTGCTTCCTGGGCATAATCACTTCCTATGTGACAGTTTTACTATCCCAGTAGGTGGGTGACTTTTAAATCTTTTTAGCCAGTTGAAACTTTCCCCCAAGTTTCAGATTTGTACATCCAAATCTCCTAGATATCTCTGGCTAAATGGGCACCAAGAACCCCAAACTCACCAAATCTAAAGCCAATCGCTTTCCCTCAACACCTTCTCCTCCTGTTCTCTATTTTGATAGTGCCACCTTTCACCTCATTACTCCTGCTGTGGATCTATAAATCACCCTGGACTCCACCCTCCCCATCCAATCACTAGCATCAACACCTAATCCACATTCAATCATTAACACAAGCCCACAACTATCCATCTTAAATATCTCTTCTTTCGACTCCCCCACCACTTCCCTGCTTTGTGACTCATCATCTGTTGCATCATTCTCTAAAGTGGTCCCCCTGGTTCTAACTCTGACCCCTTAATCCATGCTATCACCAAAGGAATCTACCTAGAAGGCACATCTGTCCATATCACTAACCACCTAAAATCCTTCCTTACTTTATAGCTTAAAGTAAGGGTCCCTCTATGATCTCATCCTGCCTCATAACCCAGGGGCTATCTTGACACCATCTTATCAAATTATCCCCCTGTTCTTAAAGTTGGAAAGGGAATCTGTATTTAAAAAGAAATACATTCACAATATTTAGAGTCTATTTAATAATGATAATGTTAATAATAATAATGTTCATTGTACCATCACTATCTATCAGCACTGAGCCACACAGTTTACCTATGTTAACTCATTTAATCCTCACAACTCTAAGAAGTAGGTCTATCCTCATGTCCATTTTACACACAAGAAAATGAAGGTCTTGAAAATCTCAGTAGACTTTCTCAAGGACATATAGCTAATGTGTGGCAAACGCTCCTGGCTCTATAAGCTCCTATATGGCTGTATGTATAAGAAATTGAGAATTAACCTGGCCCATGAGACTCGATGACTGTAACTATAAAAGGGACAGATTTGGGGAAGAAGGAAAGGGAAAAGAAGTTCATAGCTAACTATGGCCTAAAGATATGGCTCAAGCATAGCAGGGGTTGTGAAAATGGTGCAGGACCAGGCAGTGTTTAGTTCTATTGTGTGGGGTTGCTGTGAGTCGGAGCCGACTTGATGACACCTGGTAACAAAAATACCATTTAGATAAAACAGAATTCTATATTCACTTTGTTCTCAATATTAAATTTGCTCTAAAATTTATTAACTGCATATTTACATAAATATGGTATCAGTAGAAAGTCCAGAAATTAGTAGATATTACTTATGCCCATAGTGAACCATTCAGAAAGTCCTGAATGGAATTCATTTTAAAATAAAACCTTATTTATTTAATATGGCTATATATCTATTCAGGAGCTCTGGTAGCATAGTGGCTAAAGCACTTGACTGCTAACCAGAAGGCTGGTGGTTCAA